ATATAACTATTAGCTAACTAATAACTAATAACTAATAATAAATATAATATATAAAATACAATAATAAATATATATATCTACTAATACTATTATATACTATGCTATACTTAAAATCTATTTTGTAACATTTTCTATACCTTAAAAATTTTATTTTACAAAATACCTATAACTTTTATAATATATATAAAAGTTAACCAATTAATTAAACTTGGCTTCACTCATATCTTTGATATGTTTCAGAATTAGTTTCTATTTGTTTATAGCTAATTGTTTTAAATAATTGATAGGTTCTAGTCTAGGACTTAATTTCACTTATCTTTATAAACTTGTTATGATTCAGTTTTTCTACTAATAAGACTACTAAATAGTAGCTATAAACTAAACAGTATATCTAGTTATAGTTAAATAGGCAGACAACTAACTGGTATGCATTAGTAATTTTGATATAGCAATTTTTCTATGTTGATATGCTAATTATTAATACTGTTATAGGAAAATCTGAATCAGGTCTTTGTTTAATAGATCTATTTTTATTTTTGTTAATAAATTCTTATTACAGATTATTGGTAATATGTACAAGGTTTTTATATTAAGAATAAGAATATTACTATTGACTTTATATATAATAGTATCTGAATGTTATACTTATTTACAAAGGTTTTGTAATTCAAGAGCTTTGTAATAAATTTGCAAAATAATCTATATTGGTAGGTTTAGTAATAGGTTTATTGTTGTTAAGATTGTTAGAAGTTTATTTAAAAATATAAAGAAAATTAATATTAAAAGTAGGCATTTCTTTGGTCTTTTTATATCTGTTAAAATTATCTTTATGCTTCTATATTAAGCAATTTTTGGCACAGTAATTTGTAATTTATTTAACCTATACTGTCTCTTATTAACTTTGTTTAACTTATATTATTTTATACTTAATAGCAGCTAAATTTGTTTAATATATGCTTTTTCTTTATATTTTTATTTAAGATTACATTGTTTACAATATATATTAAATAATTCTTTGTTCTAAAAATTAAACAAAATTTGTGTCACTATATATTAGTTTTTCTATTTTTATAATTATGGTATTCTTTGTGTTCTTTTTTTTTAAAAAATGAGATTTCTGAATTTTATTTACTAATTTGTCTAAAATTAGCAACTTGTTCTAGTTGATTCATCTATTTTTAAATTTAGCAATCATATTATTTTTATTGTAATTGTTCTTTATCTATTAATAAATTTTTAATTTTTCTGTTGTTTTTGTATTTGTTATTTATTCTATTAAATTTTTCTGTAGTTTAATTTACAAAACTTTTATCTTCTTTTTTGTATTAGTTTTCTTATTAAAAAATATTTTTTTTTATTAATAACCTTTTTTTTTATTTATTGTTTTTTACTAAGATGTATATACTTTTTGGGCTATAAGTTTGTTTTGTCTAATATTAAAACATTTTAAAATAAGACTAATTATCTATTTGGATGAGCTAGACAAATAATCTGTTAATTTAAAAGATAAGATTTAAGAGTTGTGAATAAGATTAAAAGAAAAAGAGAGTTGAAAATATTTTTGTAATATTTTGTAGATAGTAATAATAATAATAATAAAATTTAATTAAATATAATTATTTTTTTTAATTTTGTATTAAGTTTTTATAATTAATAAAATGATAATTTATAAATAATAATAAGCAATAAATAATGTTTATAAAAATAATAATAAAATATTAGAGTCTATAGGAAACAGTTTTAATAACAACTTGTAGTTTCTAGTTTTATTATTTATAATATTATTCTATACAATTGCTATTATAGTATTTTTATAATATTTGGCTTTTGTTATTATTACAAAGTTAATAAGTACTATTTTCTAATTTAATATAAATAGTAAATAGTCTAGTTCTTTTATTTTCAAACTTTGCAAAGTGTGAGGCTTTTAGGTTCTTTTATTAGATCAAAACTTTATCTTTAATTTCTAATTCTTTTGGTTTTAGTCTTCTGTTATGTCTTTTTTTTTGTTTTTCTTATAATGCTTTTATATTTCATTTAGCTTGTTTTTGTATTTCTAATAATTTGTCTATTAAATCAAAAGCTTGTAACAAAATATTGTCTTTTAAGTTTATTTTTGCATTAATTTTTTTTATTAATGAAATTAATTCTATAAGCAATACAGCTTGTCTTTCATAAGTTAGCTAAAAAGATATATATCTGGTAGTAGCATGCTTTTTAGTTTAATAAGCAAGCAGTATTGCAAGAAGATTTATATTTAATCTTCACTTGTTTTACTTTTGCTAATGACTTACATAATATTCTATTTAGTCTTTCTATTATACTATTTGTCTGTAGATAATATAGTAATAAAAACTTATATTTTATAAGAAAGTTTTTATATAGAATTTAACTTATTTTATTTCAAAAATTAGGTTTTTAATCTGAAAAAATAATTTTGAGTACTTCATGTCTATAAACTATATTTGTAAAAATAAATTTTACAAGATTTAGAGCATTTGCATTTGGCACAGCTTAAGCCTATTAGGTTAAATAGTCTATTGTAACAATAATATATCTATTATTATGAGTAGTAATAAATAGTAATTTTACTAAGTCAAATTTAATTTTTTCAATAGCTTGTCCTATCTTAATAAGATATAAAGATTCTTATCTTCAAGCTTTGCTTTTTTTTGGTATTGATTACAAGTCTTTATATATTCTTTAATGTCTTTATATTTAATTTTAATAATATCTTTCTAAGATCTTATAATATATAACATTTATTTCTAAATGTTTAGCAATAGAATAGTTATACATTATATATAAAATATAGTCTTCTATTATTTATTTGATAACTTTAAATAGTTTGTTTATAAATTTCTTGTTCTTTTTATACTAAAGTTCATTTTGAATCATAAAATATTTAGCCTAATTTGTAAGTTGTTTTTGTTGATAAATAGTGAAGTTCAAAGATATAGCATTAAAATTTAAATAATTAAATAGATTTTGGTATTGATCTAAGTTTATTATCTCTTAATATGTTAAGCAGGCAAATTTGCCTGCAAAATTTAATTTTAATGTAATTTCCAAAAAATGAGATGAGAGAGGTTCCCCTAAGAGATACCTTATTTAATTTGGCTAGACTTGAGTAACATATTGGCAAAACACCAATTGTATAAATTATGTCATGAATGATCTGCACTAACAAGAAAATGTGCTAATTAGGTTTTGCTATACTACACATTCTTTGACCAAAATCCAAAAATTAGTTAATAAAGTTTAGTAACTTTTATTTTGGATATTAATTGCTCACACTTATTCTCATACTAAAAAATTGGCTTATTCTATAAGTTTTTTTTAAAAGAATGACTTCTACAACAGAGGGTTTTTTTTTTTAAAAAAAAACTTCTAATTTTTTTTATCTGCAAATAATTTGCAATCATTTAAAGAATGCAACTTTAAATTTTGTGTCAGAGATATTTTTATCACAAACACAACTTTATAATTCAAAATAAATAAAATAACTTTAGTCAAATTATTTAATATTTAAAATTAGAAGGATGGTATTTTTGGCATTAAAATTAGAGGATAGTATTTCTGATGTTTTTCTTAAATAAAAAATAAAAAAGGTAAAACCTATTAACTAATTATCAGTTATTAGTTTAAATTTTGATTTAAACTTAAGAAAATTTTGTTAATTAGTTTATAATAATGCAAAAAAATGAAGAATTACTTACTGAGTTGGTAGACCTTTATGAGGTTTCATTTATTTCACAAATACTTAAAAATCTTTTAGCTAAAGAGATGCTTAAAGACAATGATTTTGATAGTGATAGGTGATAATACAGAATTGAGTAATAATACAAGTGTTTTTAATAAAGAACAAATTAATTCAAATATTACAATATTATTACAAAACAAAGAAAAAACTAAAGGTAAAAAAAAGGTTGTAGAAGTAAAAATAGAGAAAATAATGCAGGTTCAGAAAAAAAAGCTAAAGTAATTACACAATTACCTGTTCCTCCAGATTTTAATAATTTAGAACATAGTATGCCATTTCATTCAAGTTTTGTTAGACTGCCATTAGCATTATCTAACAATAATATTTATCTATATGAACTAATAAGATTATTTTTTTTACAATCTATTCTTATTAAAATTTTAACAAACACTAATGAATATACAAAGTCAAAAAATGCTGGCATAGATGGATAAGTTTGGCTATCTTTAACATTAGAAGAATTGAAAATTTGGTTAGGAATTGTTATATATATGGGTTTAATTAAGTTGTCACAGATAACAGATTATTGGTCAGCTGATCCTAAATATCCTTGACATAATATTATTCAAACAATGTCAATGATTTGTTTTCAACAAATAAAATGATACTTATATATTTCAAATATTAATTCTGAAAAACTTCATTGGTTTAATAAGGTTGAACCTCTAATGTCACATGTTTGAAATATTAGCAAACAAATGTATATACTAGGTTCAAATGTAGCAATTGATAAAATAATGATACAATTTTTAGAATATAGTAAACATACATTTAGAATGAAAAATAAACCTATATCTGAAGGTTATAAGATTATATCATTATGTGAAAAAGGCTATACTTACACATTTGTACTTGAATTATGTATTAAAAATAATAATGAAATTCAAAGTATTTCTGGTTTTAACAAAACAGAATCTCTAGTTTTACATCTTATTATGCAATTATCTAATAGTCAGGCATATAATATTTATATGGACAATTATTTTGCAAGTGTGCCTCTTTTTTAATTATTTACGAATAAAAGGTTATAATGCTTGTGGCATAGTATAAACAAATTTTGCAATGTTTCCTAAAGAATTAAAAGTTGAAAAATCTATATATTTGAATTGGGATACTTTAGCTAAAATAGTAGTAAATAATGTTTTAGTAATTTTTTGAATGGATAATGATTCTGTCCATATGCTCTCAACAATTCATAATATTAAAAGTAATAAATGAAAAGTTTTAAGTTCAAGATAATGGTTACGAGAAACAAGCTCAAATGCAAACAATGTACAAAAAGTTTTTGGTAATGAAATTTAAAAAGAAATTTTAATTCCAAAAGCTATTTATAACTATAATCATTTTATAAATAAAGTTGATATTGCTGACCAATATCAATCTTATTACAATTGTCAGCTAACTGCTTCATATACTTGGATGTTATTACTATTTTGGCTAATAGATACAGCTATAGTAAATTTATATATTATCTATCAAAAAAAGGATAAATTATTTAGTTTATTTTATCCAAGCTTTAACATTAGTATTATTTTATATCCTAATTAATAAGCTTTATTTTTTTTAGATAAAGTTCTTAAACATTAACAATTTAGGTTGCAACTAGCATGAGATTTTATTAATGATGCATTAAATAATAATAAAAAAATAAATAAGCAATGTTTAAATAAAAACTCAACCTTAATTGTAAGCAAAAATTTTAACCTTTCTGTTATTCATCTTTCTGGTATAGATCATTATTCAGAATAGAGAATGGACTATGTAGCATGTATTTGGTGCAGATGGGATGCAAAAAATAGTAGTAATAACAAAATATTAAAATAAATAAAAAAAAATCTGCTGCAAAGCCAGATTTGGTGTAGCAAATGTAATGTTGCACTTTGTTGTGACATATTCTGTTCTTTATGCTTTAAAAAATATTATACATATAATAAAAAATAAGTCAATATTTTATATAGTATTGATAAACAATAATAGAAACTAATATTTGTATTTTATATTTATTATTTGTACCTTATATTTGATAGTCATATGTATATACATGTGCATATATATTATATAGGTTTAAGGGTAGGATGTATGTAGATCATTTTTCATATGACCTAGATGGCATAATGGATTTTTATATAGTAAATTAAAATATGTTACTAATAAAACTTTTTTATTTTTTAATTAATTTTTATCAAAA